ATTTCCCTTCAAATATGCCCTCCCCTATCTTTATTGAGGGCTACGCTGCGTTTGCATATGGGTCCAGGAGCCGCCAAGGGGCGCTTCCGAGTCACATCTAGCGCGGGCAATTTTTTACCCGGTTTTTGCCCGGTTTTTGCCCGGTTTTTGCCCGGCCCGTGCCCTGTCATTTTCCGAAGATGTCTCAGGCGATTTGCCCACGGGCAATTTTTTACCCGGTTTTTGCCCGGGATTTGCCCGGTTTTTGCCCGGCCTTTTTTGTGCCCCAGAAGGTAATAATTTCCGACAGGTCGGCGTTCTTGAGAAGAGTTACTCGAATTAGACAGCTCTGAGCGCCCCCCAACTCGTCAATGTGAGAGTCCGAGCGTTGTTTTTCTTCTGAGCTCCCCCGCCCAGCGTCGATACTAGCGTCGCAGGCCGCGTGGTCGATCGCCGCAAGTGCCCGACACCCCTCTGCGGGGGCTTAAAGCTGCCCGACGCCCCCCGGCGGGAGCTGTCAAACTGCATCCTAGCGGCGAAAGCCTGCTCTTGCCCGACCTTTCATCCACTACCTCTCCATCGCCTTTCTCCTCCTCGGCCCTCCCCTCGGCCTACTCATCCCTCCCGTCTGCTGTTGCTGCCGCCCTGCATACATTCGCCCGTCCCTGATCCTCTTCCCCTCCTGCTTGCCCTCACCCTCGTCGTTCCACTCGCCATCGTCATCCTCATCCTGTCGTTCTGGCCAGTCCCAGGCATCGAGATGCCACCGCTATCAGCTCCAGGACCGCACTCCGAAAGAGAGAAAGAGAGAGAGGAACAGTCAAGGGGGGCGAGAGGAATGAGGTGTGGGGAGGGATACAAGCATATATAAAACAGATAGAGAAGGAGAATGAGAGAGAGAGAGAGAGAGAGAGAGAGAGAGAGAGAGAGAGAGAGAGAGAGAGAGAGAGAGAGTGAGGGAGATATAGAGAGATGGAGGGATGGACGAACCACAGGGATGGAGGACGGCGAGGGGGGTATCGGGGTGGAGAGGAAACGGGATATAGAGGAAGAGACAGGGGACAGGAATATGGGGAGAATGTAAGGATGGATAGATATCTTTGGAGAGATTTCGAGGGATATATATATATATATATGTATATATATAGAGAGAGGGAGATATATAGGGAGAGATGGAGAGAGGGAGAACGAGCCAGGCAATATGAATGGGAGGAGGATCGAGAGACACCAAGCCGTACCATCATGACCGTCGTCGTCATCGTCATTAGTGTCGCCGTCGGCGTCATGACCGTTTTCGTCATTGTCCTCGATGATGTAACTATTATTGCCATTGCATCAAGCATTGGCATCTGCGTCGCCGTCATCCTCACTCGCCACGGTACCCTCATCCACTCCCTGGCCGAGCAGCGCCCCTCTCAGCGGGGTCAGGCGGGCACAGCTATGCTGTGTGCGACGCGGGCGAACGTGTTAACCAGCACGGCATCTACTCCTGGGACGGGAATTCGTCGTTCTCGAGGTCCTGGATCTTCTGGAAGCACTGGTCCAGGGACGTGATGGACTCCTGTAACTCCTCGACCGCCGACAGCGACCCGTGCACGTCGTTGAGGAAGGCTTCCGACAAGTCGTAGTTGTAGAGCATGAGGTTCTCCAAGTCCGTGTACTCTGAGATCTTGGCCTGGGTCGCGTCAATCTTGCGGACGAGCTTGCCCTTGAACCTGTCCGTGTTGGCCCAGGACAGCTTGCTGTCTGGTTTCTATGGTGGTGACGAGGTGTTTGGATCTCTGTAGCACAGCCGAGAACTCCTTCACGACGTTCTTCGCTTTTGTCTCCACCAACTTCGGGGTGGCGGCCTTTGCCTTCGATTTTGCCTTCGCCTTCCCCTTTGCCTTTCCCTTCCCGTCTTTGCCCTTGCCCTTGCTTGCCTTGGATCCCGAGCTCGGTGACGATGGCTTCGGAGGAGCTGCAGCTTCAGCGCCAGTCGGTCGTTGAACGGGGCCTGGCGCATGCTCCACAGCTGCACCTGCTTTTGCCGCTGGGGTCTGAACTGCCGCACCAGACTGCCTGACGGCGTCACGCGTCTCGAGCCTGGTGCTGCGGCTGATGTTCACGTGATCCACCGTCTCCGTATCAGTCTTCCTCTTGAACTCCATGCGCTTGCTCTCCACATTGATGCGCACGTGCTTGGGCCCCTTGTTGATGAGGTACATGCATCGGTTGACGGCCCCCTGCACTGCCGCTTTCGTGGGAGGGCCGCCTCCGCCGCCCATCTCAGCGGTGATCATGCCCTCGAACGTCATCCACTGGCCAGTCGTCGTATCCCGCTTGACCCGCTCGTTGATCTTGGCCCGCTTCTCCTGCAGATGAACAAAACCACACCCGTTGCTTATCAGTTTCTGCCCCCCTACCCCTTGGTTTGTAGGTTTCTGGTCTAGGGGGTCGTCATCGTTTTCGCCTTCGTCGTCGTCGTCGTCATCAACATCATCATGTCGTCATCGCCGCCGCCGCCGTCGTCGTCATCATCGTCGTAAACGTATCCTGGTACTCGTCGAACTGCTCCTTCACCCACTCTCTGACCCTCTTCTTCTTGCCGCGCGGGTCCAACAAGTTGTAGCGCTCCGTCTCCTCGGCGCAGTTGCGACGGAAGAGAGCGCACCTCTTCCCCAGGGGGGTCTGGCTGCCGATGTCGAAACCAGCCGCCGCCGCTGCCTCGAGGTTCAAGTCCCTGTCATCATCCTCCTCAGCTGGGGCTGCCTCGCCATCGTCTGTGGCCCCCGCCTGCATAATGTTCGATTTCTTGAAGGCCTCCAGCAACTTGCTCTCGAAGTCTTGCGCCTGCGCTGATGTTATATCAGAGCGCTGCCAAACGTGCCCCCCTGTCCGCCCAGCTCTGCTAACAGCCGTTGCCGCACGCATGATTGAGTTATCGTCAACCACTTATTCTAGACGGCTACCCCTCACCTCCTCATCCCTCTTCCTTCTCAGGATGGGGATGAAGGAGAGGGGGAAAGGAGCAGGAGGGGAATGTGCGAGGATGGCAAAGACCTCGGAGGAGGGTAATTATGGGGTAAGCAACAGTTTGGGGAGGAGAGCAGGAGCAGGAGAGCAGGGGGGGAGGGAGGCGGAGCTCGGGCAGGACCGATGAGGGTGAGGTGGCACGGGAACCCGCGCCCACCGCCCGCCTGGATGGTCACGGGGGAGCCGTGCGGGTTCATCGCGACGCCAGTCACCTGGCGTGCCCGCGGGGGGAACGACCCGAGCAGCATGAGGGAGAAGCCGCAGCCGACACTTCCCAGAGAGCTGCCCGAATTGCTCGGGAGAGTTGCCCGAAACGTGCCCGAAACTTGCCCGCGGCCTGCCCGCGACTTGCCCGACATTTGCCCGACACGTGCCCGACTTGCCCGAAATTTGCTCGAAACTTGCCCGAAACTTGCCCGAAACTTGCCCGATATTTGCCCGATATTTGCCCGAAACTTGCCCGAAACTTGCCCGAAACTTGCCCGAGAATTGCCCGACACTTGCCCGAAATTTGCCCGAAACTTGCCCGCGTCTTGTCCGAAACTTGCCCGAAACTTGCCCGAAACTTGCCCGAAACTTGCCCGAAACTTGCCCGACACTTGCCCGAAACTTGCCCGAAACTTGCCCGAAACTTGCCCGAAACTTGCCCGAAACTTGCCCGAGCATTGCCCGAAACTTGCCCGTGACTTGCCCGAAACTTGCCCGAAACTTGCCCGACATTTGCCCGAAACTAGCCCGAAACTTGCCCGAAACTTGCCCGAAACTTGCCCGACACTTGCCCGAAACTTGCCCGAAACTTGCCCGAAACTTGCCCGAAACTTGCCCGAGAATGGCCCGAAACTTGCCCGTGACTTGCCCGAAATTTGCCCGACCTTTGCCCGAAACTTGTCCGAATGTTGCCCGAACCTTGCCCGAGACTTGCCGGAGAATTGCCCGCGACTTGCCCGACGCTTGCCCGACACTTGCCCGCGATGTGATCGCGACTTACTTGAGTCAGGCCCGAGATACAAGTTAGAGGGAGAGGGAGAGAGAGAGAGAGAGAGAGAGAGAGAGAGAGAGAGAGAGAGAGAGAGAGAGAGATAGTATCGAGGGAGAGGGAGGGATGGAGGGAGTAGTAGTAGTAGTAGTAGTAGTAGTAGTAGGAGGAGGAGGAGGAGGAGGAGGAGGAGGAGGAGGTGGGCGTCGACGACGGGGATCGGGAGAGTAGAAGGGCTCGGTGGGAATGGAGGTTAGAGGCAGTGGACGGGGAGAGTGATGGGGGAGATATGCGTATATGTACCTCGGTATTCATATGGTGTGCGTGCGTGTGAGTTGCGTTCTCTTTCTCTCTCTCGCTCTCCCTATATGTATGTATATAAACACACCTACTGATAGTTCACCCTCTAGCTGAATATCTCTCTATGCGCGTGTATCGATGTTTATGTATACATCAACAGAGACATACCACTAGTTCGCTACATATGTATACCGTGTGTTATCCCTCAGGGTACATTTCGGTGTGTGTATATGTCATTGTCCACCCCTTTCGGTGCGTGTCTAACTCGCGCAACTTCACAGCGCGCTGCATATCCATAGACAGTGTATGTGTGTATGTCTAGATGTTTGTGTATATATATATACATATGTGTGTAGCCAGCGTGTCAGTGCCAGCCTGGATAGCCCTCTGTTTGTTGATTTTCGACGTCGCCGCATCGCTTGGAACTTGCGGTCTGGCTGCAATAGGTGGCAGTCCGATGACTAGCCATGCAGCATGTCCCATGATGTCGAACTAGTGTCAAGTGCCTTTATCCTGTCATCCATATCTGCCTCACCTCATCGTCCTCCTCATCCTCCTCATCCTCCTCATCTCCTCCTCCTCCTGGTGTCGACGCTCCCTCCTCCTCCTCCTCCTCCTTCTCCTCCTCCTCCTCCTCCTCCTCCTCCTACCTCCAGTCCCGTCCTCCACCCTTTCCAATATGCACGGCTCTAGTCTAAGCAGGCGGGCTCGCATGCGCGCCGTGCTCACGTCACTCCGACACCTCATCCGATGAAGGAGTCGGCGGCGACAGCTGGGTCTTGCGAGCGATCGGCGACTCCGCCTTCTTCTTGGGCGGTGGGGTCGCAGCAGCAGGCGTGCCGTCACCCTCTGAAGCTGCAGGTGTCGGCTTGTCGGCCTCGACCGTTGCCGCTGGCCTCTTCATCTGTGCACCTGTAGCTGAAGCACCTGCCGAAGCACTGACCGCTGCCGCTGGCCTCTTTTTGGACACGCGCGACTCGAAGCCGCTCTCCGACAGTTTCTCCATCTTAGCGTTGATGGCCTCGTCCTTATCGATCGTCCCTGCTGCCAGCTTCTCCGCGATGACTGATGCCCACGCCAAGCCAGCCGCCTGTTTGTTCTTCTCGGCGGTCTCCTCGAAGTGCTGCGCGTTGATGGTCACCACGGCGTGGCCGTCCACCGCGACGACGGCGAGCCTTTTGGGAGGTTTGCCTTTGGCGTCGTCGCTGCGGATGAACGCCTCGACTTTAGTGCCATCCTTGTCCGTGTCAACCCAGCCCTGCCTGTCGGCCGCGCGCCCCTTGGTCGCCTTCATGGGGTGGTGATCTTTCTTGCCACCTGCGCCGCCACCGTCGACTGGCTCCTTCTTGCCATCGGCACTCGCCCGCCATTTGGCGACCGTCATCTGGGCCACCATCACCGTCTCCAGGGTGCCATCAGTGTTCTTGAAGGTCGCAGACATGCTGTCCGTCATCTTCGCGTTTGGCGGCTCGTGCATGCTGATCGCGTACTCTGGGTGGTAGACCTTCTTGCCGCCCTTGCGCGTCCTGAAAGCGCAGCGGGCGTCTGCATCGTACCCGTGGTCGTACTGCACCTGCGGCTTGGACTCCTTCTCGGCGCTCTCGGGCTCGGACTTCGTCTCGGGGTTCTTGCTCTCGGCGCTCTTGGTCTCGGACTTCTGCTCAGCCTTGGTCTCCGCGTTCACCCTGCCCGTGGCCTCGTCATCTGCAAGCTCGCTGTCAGGAGCAAAGTCATCAGGGTTCTCCTCCTCGGCGTCCTCCTCCTGCATCTCGAAGTCGCCCGAGTCCTCGTCGCCGTTGTCGTCGCCCACTATGCGCGGCCTCGGGATCTTCAAGGCTCTGAACCACTTCGGCGGCGATTCCTTGATCAGGTACTGGCCCGCGTGGCGGCACATCTTAGAGAGACGTCTCTGCAGCTCGGTCTGCCACGTCGCTTGCTCCCCTCGGCTCCTGAAACTGAGATTCTCCTTGGCCACCTCCTTGAGAGCCTGCGTCCACTGGTCCCTCTTGAACGCCAGCGTGCCCTTCACCTGAAGCGAAAGCAAACTACGCCTCTCTCATTTATCCTCCACTTTACCTCGCCCCCTCCTCCTCCACCCCCCCCCCTCGCTCCCCTCTGGGAGCTTCCCTCCTCCCCTCCCTCATCCCGCTCCCTCCCTCCGTTCATCGCCCCTCGTCCCCCTCCTCCGAGTCTTGCGCTAATTACGCTATACTGCTCACAATCCCCTTATAATTGCTGCTGGTGCTGCGCTTCCTCCCCCCCCCTCCCTCTCCTCCCCATCCTCTTCCTCCTCCTCATCATAATCACCATCAGCATCGTCACCATCGTCCTCATAACCCTCAACCATCCCACGGTGCACCCTTCATTGTTTAGCACCAGTCACATCCGCGTCTATGAGTATGCACACGCGTATGTATATGACGATGTCGATACACAGATATGTGATTATGGGATATAGATCATATGTAAATATGTTTGCATGTCGTATACATGTATATGTACATATATCTACGTATGTGAACATACACATGTATACATTCATATATATATGTATATATAATGTGTGTGATCGCCCTCTAGGTCATCATGCCTCCCTCTCTCCTCATCCTTATTCCTCCTCCTCCTCCTCCGCCTCCTCCACATCCTCTTCCTCCTCCTCCTCATCCTCCTCCTCCTCCTCCTCCTCGTTCTCCTCCTCCTCCTCATCATCCTCCCCCCTTCCTCCTGTCGCCTCCATCATCTATCCGTCCGAATCATTATCATCGTCTCCCAATATTCCTCATCTTTCTCATCATCCTCATTGTCCTCGTCCCCATTCGTACGATGACATGGGGGCGGTACATTTGTCAACTGGGCCACCTGGGCAACGCTTTTGATCAGGCTGACGCGCTTCTCGATGCCCTTGCGGTCGATGCCGCCATCGCACTTGCATGTGCAAAAGTTGCTGGAGGTTGCGTGTGGGAGCAGGGCTTGTGCGAGCGGCCCCAATATCACATATGTATCCTCTCCAGGGGACGACATCTTGCGGCACAATGGCTATCGTATACGGAGAGGGTGGATGGAGGATCGAGGGAGGACGGAGGAGGGAGGATAGAGCAGGGATGCGGGATGATGTAGGACGACAACAAAGGATGGAGGCCAGAGGATGGAAGAGAGGGGATGGAAACAAGAGGATGGAGGGTAGATGATGGACGACGGACGATCACGTCGACGGGGGGTGGAAGAGGGATGACGAATAAGATAGCGGGGAGGGCAGACGATCGAGGAAGATAAGGCGGCGGATGACTAGGATGGGGAAACGGTTGGGGAGGCGGAGGAAGACCACGGGCAGGAGGAGGAGGAGGAGGAGGAGGATGGTGGATGGTGGATGGTGGATGGTGGTTCACGAGAGTGAACGAGTCTGGGGGGGATGATGTCGGAGGGGAGGGAGCGAGAGGGGAACGGATACGCACATAGAAGAAGCGGGTGCAACGGGCGGGTCGGGGTTGGCCTCTGTCTCGAACATCCGCTGGATGAGCTCCATGTCATCGGGACCAGTCACAGGTAATGCCTCGCGCGGGGGCGGGCCGTGGGATTAAGCGCTTCTCCCCCCGACCTCCGCCCCCATAAATATTGTCCCACTTCCCCCGTCCCCCCCCGTGCACCTCCCTCCATCCATCCCTCCTCCCTTATCGTTCTTCTCCTCATCCTCCTCCTCCTCCTCCTCCCCTCCTCCCCTCCTCCTCCTCCTCCTCCTTCTCCTCCTCCTCCTCCTCCTCCTCCTTATCCTCCTCCTCCTTCTCCGCCTCCCTCCCTCCCTCCTTTTTCCTCCTCCTCCTCCTCCTCCTCCTCTTCCTCCCTCATGCCTCTCCTCTTCATCTCCCTCCCTCCCTCCCTCCTCCCTCCTTCTCTTCCTCCCTCCTCCTGATTCACTCCGTGACACGAGCCTTCTTGGCCTGCTCGACGGGCGGCGGGTCCCCTGGTACAGTATCCTCCTCGGTTGGCCCGTCGATTGGCTCTGCCAGGGTTGACTCGATGGGCTGCACCTCCTTGATTTGCTGGTCGGCTGGCTCGATCTGATCGCTAATGTCGGCTGCCTGCGGGAACGGTCCGAATGGGCTATGCGGTGAGCTCGGCGGCTTCTCGCGAGAAGGAGGAGATAAGAGGGTTATGTTAAGGGGAGGGGGGTGAGGAGCACTATCCTCGTCGGAGACCGATCCCCACGCCGACCCGATCGCGTTCGATTCGACGTCGACCCCCACCATGTCGCATTCCCCTTCGTCGTCGTATAAGTCGGCATATGGTTCGGCCTCCGACGGGGGATAACGTGGAGGCGAGAGAGAGAGGGGGAGAGAGAGGTGGTGAATTTGGAGGGCGGTGGAGATATGAGGAGGGAGAGTGAGGAGGAGGATGAGATGAACGAGGACGAGGACCAGGACGAAGCTGATGAGGAGGATGACGACATCGTTATATATGCCGTCCTCATTGTCAGCATCGTCATCATCCTCATCACCTTATATGTGTGACATTGTCGTCGTCCTCGTCGTCGCCATCGGTCTGGGCCTCGTCTTCCTCGCCGTTACGGCGCCCTTGATATGATCGTCATGCCCCCCCCTCCTCCCTCCCCCTCCTCCTCCTCCTCCTCCTCCTCCTCCTCATCCTCATCCTCCTCATCCTCATCCTTACCCTTTGATCGTCCTCCTTCCTCATCATCCTCCTTCCAACTCCGCCTCCGCCTCCTCCTGAAGGTGTTGCAACAGTCTCGCGCCTCGGGAATGCCCATGTGACCCTCGGGCTGCGCGTCCGAGAGGGGCATGGGCAAGATCTGCTGCGGGCTGCTGATCGGCTGCGGGCTGCTGTCTATCTGTTCGACTGGTTGTGCTGCGATGATGCCCTCGAGATCTTTGCCGATGCTGTCGCTGCCGTCTTTGTCACATGCCTTGCCTAACATTCGGGGAATCTTCGACAGCGGCTCGTCGTCGCTGCTCAAGTCGATCGGGCGATTGTACACTCTCGGCTCCGCTATGCCCAACTGCGCCTGTAAAGGGAACCCGACCAAAGCTACACTCTTCCTCCTCCTCCTCCTCCTCCTCCTCCACCTCCTCTCCTCTTCGAGCCCCTCCCTCCTCCTCCTCATCCATCCATCCATCCATCCATCCATCCATCCATCCATCCATCCATCCATGCCTCATCCTACATCTCGTTTCCCTTCCACCCTAGGGAAAGCCTGCGCGGCCGATGCTGTCGCACTCGTCGCTGCCGAGCTCGACGATGCTGCATGTGCACTGCTGCGCACCATACCCGCGATGTTGCTGTTGTTGTCCTCGCGCGGAGATGGGGGTTGGATCCGAACGTCGTCTCGTCGCCGCCGCCGCCGCCGCCGCCGCCGCCGCCGCCGCCGTCGTCGTCGTCGTCGTCGTCGTCGTCGTCGTCGTCGTCGTCGTCGGCGTTGTCGTCGGCGGCGTCGGCGTCGGCATCGGCGTCGGCGTCGTTGTCATCTTTTTCGCCCTTGCCCTCGTTATCGTTCTCGCCCTCGTCGTCGTCATCGTCGCCCCCCTCCTCCTACTACTCCTGCTCCTCCTCCTCCTCCTCCTCCTCCTCCTCTTCCTCCTCCTCCAACTCTTCCTCCCCCCCTCCTCTCGAGGAGGGGGTGGGTAAGACCGCATGCAGCTTTCGGGCAACGCTCGGGCAACTTCCACGAGTTGCCCGAACGTTGCCCGAAAGTTGCCCGAAAGTTGCCAGCCGCGGTCCCGCGTCAGCATGGCCCTGCGCAGCGCCATACAGTGGCCCGCGGGGCGCTTGCGCAGGCGCCTAGCACGCCTTGATGCCAGCGCAGGCAGCCAGCGAGGAGGATGGAATAGGGCGAGGTGGAGGGTGGAATAGGGCGAGGTGGAATAGAACAACACCCCCATCTGTCCACGGACCACGACCACAGCGGCCACAAGCCACGGAACCGATACGTGTTTATTCGATATACGCATGACAGTGCACTCTGAATATATATATATATATATATATATATATGTATATTTGTATATATATATATATGTATATAGATATCTATATATATAACATACATGCATGCATACATGCAAACAAACATGCATCCATCCATCCATCCATCCATACATACATACATATATACATACATACATTCATGCATACATGCATGCATGCATGCATGCAAACACATGCATGCATGCATTCACGCATGCATGCATACATACATGCATGCATACATACATGCATGCATGCATGCATGCATGCATGCATACATACACACATACAACTTTGTATGTAAATATACGGGTCATCTCGATTCTCCACTCGTGCAAACGCTTATTTGGGCCATGTGATGGCGGCGTGGCCTGCAAAACTGGTGTTCGGGGCCTCCAGGATGAATAAAAAAGGTTGTTTCGTTTTTTTTTCAACTTTTCGCGGGCGTTTGAAAAAAACAGTGGTTTTGAAAATTTTCACTTTTTCTGAAAAAAGAGACCTCTGGGCAGCGCCTTTCCTGCGCGCACGCGGTAGTCGCCGTGCAGGCGCCGCCGGGCCGCTGCGCTGCCATTTGGGGGTGCCCGCGGGGGACTGATCTGCAGGCGCATGAGCGCGGTCGCCGCCGCCTCCCACCACGAGCCTGGCGCGTCCTCTGATAATCCGTGAAACCTCCGCGCCTCCTCGTACCGGGGGTCCACGTCGACCACCCTGATCCTCAGCATGAGCGCCATCTGCTTGTAGTCCGTCGACAGCCGCCAGGCCCGCCCTAGCTGCTCCAGCACGCCGCGGGGCAGCGGCCCCGCGAGTCCAAGTACGGCGCGGCCCCACTCCTCCTGCAAGCGGTTGACCTCCCGCTCGAACTCCGGCAGGTGGAAGCAGAGCTCCAGGCCAAACAGCGCCGCCGGCCTGGTGCAGGTCCTCAGCGCGTCCAGCTGTTCCCTGATAAGGAGGAAACCGCGGCCCTGCATGGCCAGGATCTGGCGCCTGCCCACAGCTCGGCGGGCCTCCAGGCACGCCCGCAGGTGCCCCTGCGCCGGGGGGCCTCCGCCCTGGACTACTCCCAGGCAGCGGTAGGAGTCCACGAAGGCTACGTCCCCGCATGGCCCGGTATCTCGCAGTCCGCGCGCAAGCGCTGCCGCTTTCGTAGGCCCATGCCTGAAGCGCCCCCGGGACTTGATGGAGACATGTAGCAGGGCCTGCGCCACCTGCCCACAATGGCCCCGCGAGGACGCCTTGTTACGCAGGTCGTCCACGAAGGACCGGGCTCCGACGCGGGTCTCCGCCGCGCCGTCAACCAAGGCCAGTCGCACCGCGTCCGAAGACGCACTCGCCATGACGTGCTCCCAGGTCGCTCTGGCCGCCAGGAGCAAGCACCACTGGTCGACCTCCTCGCTGTCCAGCTCGCCCACGTCCGAGTGATCCCAGGCCGCGCGGTATGCCAGCAACGCCTCAGGGTCGGGGTCCGGGCCAATGCCCAGGCCGGCCCGTTCCTGCAAGTCCTCCACCTTGGCGGCGTTTGCTGCGCAGTCAAGCACCAGGCTGAGCTTCCTGCCTTCGGGCATCCCCACCCGGGGTCGGATGACGCGCGACCTGCAGTTGCGCGCCACAACCTGGATGATGGTGCCCGCCAGCATTGCCTCCAGCTGGAGTCATCCCCGGCCCGCGATGGCTGCGCGGCGGTTTGCTGCCACCAACGCCTCTCGCCAGTCGTGGGAGTCAACGGCTGGCGCAAAGGCTGTAGCGTTCGAAATCAAGCAAGGACGCCGCCAGGCACTCGCCCTCGGATTCCTGGGTCGACGGGGTGGCTCCTTTGAGGGCCACCGCGTGCCTCTGCGCCCACAATTCTTCCAGGATTCTGCCTTCCACCGAGCACAGGGCCAGGGCGCGGAAGCCCTCGTAGTCCATGCGGCTTTTCCCGGGTTTCTCCTTATGGTAGTTGTCCTGGAGGA